GCACGAACTATTCAACATGTGTGTGCGCAAAAGCAGCCGAATGCTTGTGTGACTTACTTATATAACTCGATATCGCTGCATAATACTATATGAGTGTATGTGTGCTGCATTTGTCTAACTGTTAACGAGTGTGTGGGTGGCCAGGAGTTTTTACTGAGCGAATATGCAAACGCAAACGAGTGTAGCGCGTGACAAGTCTTTCCGCTGTAATTAATTATATGGTGTCCGTAGGGTTGATAAAATTGCATTAAAGCTCTTATATAGCTTGTATCTAAAATTCATTTCATTTTAAAAAGCGATGTAAAAAGAAATGTTAAAAATTTTATAACACCAATCTCCTAGATGTCCGCGACATTTTAGTCATACAAAATATTTAAAGTCTACTTTCCTCCGTTTCTTCTCCCAACATTTATTTCACAAAAGGAATACTTAAATCGGATATCAATCCAGCCTACTTAGCTCTCTTCAATCGTACCATCTCTTGACCATCCTTTTAATAGAGTTGCCTTTGTAACACCCCTTAGCTTAAGCATTCAATTTATTCTGCAGATTATATAGAGATATAATTATAGGTAGGCAGGAATCTGCATTTGGAATAAAATCGACTCTCGTAGCATACTCCAGGAGTTGCGACACTTTCCTTTAAACTAGTTTAGACCGATCCTTATTTTGGGATTCGACGACTTGTGCCAGAAACGGATCCCTAGCAGTTCATTCTACTCAAATATTTAGCCTGTTAGAGCCTTAGGTAATACAACGGCAGGGAAGGTTTCCGAGCACTTGTACTTTACTTATTTATACTTATTTTTTGAAAATCAATCGATTCGCTAACAGTATTGCAGAAGATCTTCACCCACCACTTACTACTTGTATAGTAGATTCACTATAATCGAAATCAGAGTAAACGGAAAATTTATTTCCTTTTTGACTGTCATTTTGCAGAATCTTTCTTACCTAAAGTACCCAGTTTTCAAGACTCTAACGATAAAATTTGCGCTTTCGGATTCTTTTATCTGGACAAGATTTTGGAGGTTTCGTCATCTAGTGGTAAACGATAGTGTCTAAGATAGAGCTCTGTTACTTTATATTAGAAGTCGCATTGTTGTTCTGTCTCGAGATGGTGATTATGTCAGCTCTTAAGAGATTTATCTTCCTAATATCTCTTCAATCTTACTGTTATTAAACGCAAGTTATACTAATTAAATGTACATCCGTACGGTCAATCAATTCTATAAGATTTTTTTGAAGACCCAAGTTAATTTCGAGGTTTTTCAAAGAATAAGAAAAATTGTTTACAAGATTTGTCAAATAATGTATTTTTTTCGGGTCTAAAGCCTTATAACAACATATTTCAGCCGAAATTACCAAGTTTAGGAACCAGTTTGTAGAAATTTAGTAAACTTAACTGAAAATTTAACCATAGCATTTAAATTCTCATTTCCCTTACTTCATTCACGCTTTAAAGCTTCCTCTATCGATTTTTCGCCTTATCCCTCAACGTTATCCGACAGCTTCTTGCTCATTAATTTAAATGCAAATCCCTAACCTTGACTTTCAACTACACACATTACTTTCAGCACACTTTAGTGCTTCCTTTAAAGCTAAGCAACTCCAACTTTTTGCACTTCACGCAGCACATGCTTATACTTACCCCAGTTTTTCTAGCAATTTCTAGCATTCAAAACCTTCAGAAATTCATTATCAAGGACGCAATCAAAAGTGGGAGCAAAATGTCAGCTCTGCTACAACAAAAACAAAGGCAACAATTGTATAAAGCAATTTAATCACTGCGCAACCTTGAGCGCTAATCGACACTGTTATTCGTAGCACACCCACAAGCTCCCGCATATCCATATGCGGGCTCATTGAGTTCCCTACAACAGCTCCATTATTCTGCACTACATCGTTTGGCTTTCACAGAAGGGAGCGACATTTTGACACTAAGAGCTCGCAACTGCATTCCATAACATTTCCGCTTCCGCCAACTGTCACACTCGCAATTGCAACTGCAATCGTTAGCGCAAGCGGTGCAGACATTCGTGTGTGGTATATGTTTGTGCGGCCCTGAGATGTGGCATGCACTTGGTAACAAGCGCTGGAATTTGCTGCAAGCTGGCGCTTATACTTTTGTTTGTGTGTGTTTGCTAAGCTCTTTTGATAGGGCAGAAGAAAAATTGCTATGCTGCAACAATTGGACTCAGTCAGCTGCAAGCTTTATGCAATCTATTTGCGGTGTGAAGAAGACATTAAGAAAGAAATATGGTTACACTTTTTGTGAGTTCTCAAGGTCGTATTAAGGGAGTGCAGCTGCATAAAAGCTGTTCAAGGTTACATACTTTAGTGATACCACAGGCACGTGCTTGATACCTCGTTGCATGTTGTAGTCGAATCGGCATAGTACCGGCAAAATGCTGCATACTGTTCTCTTTTTAATGAAGCTTGAATAAGAACCAAATACCAATATTGTGGAATTCAATGCAGCTCCATCGGTACTATGGCATAACATCTAACACCTAGGTCTAGGTTTAGTTTAAGGTATAGTTCTAGTGCCAGGTCTTAGTCTAGTTCTAGATCTAGGTTTCTGGACTGTAGGCCTAGATCTAAGTCTAGATCGAGGTCTAAGTCAAGATCTAGGTATATGGGGTGTAGGCCTAGATCTAAGTCTAGGTCCAGGCCTCGGTCTAAGTGTAGGTGTAGGTTAAGGTTAAGGTTTAGGTCTAGGTGTAGGTGTAGGTCTAGGCCTAGGTCTAGGTCTAGGTCTAGGTCTAGGTCTAGGTCTAGGTCTAGGTCTAGGTCTAGGTCTAGGTCCACGTCTCTAACTCTAGGGCTGGCTCTAGGTTTAAGTATAGGTCTAAGTTACGGTCAAATTCTTACTCTTAAATTATAGGTCCAGTTCTAGATCAAGGGGCACTACCACTACCCCACTTTCTCTTARTACTGATTTAGTTTAATTATTGAAGGGGTTCGTTAAAAATGATATAGTAATGAAAATAAATATCAACAAAACTTATTCAATATTTCACAAATACCAAATTTTTTTAAATTTCGAAATTATTTAGTCTCTTTATTTTCTTTTTTTTCATTAAATTTGAAGCAGCTAACTCAGATTACAAACAAATCTCTTTCGAATATACTCACTTTTACCCCTCATTTATTCGAATTTACTTTCGACAATATACTATATTATTGCTGTAGCAAGTTTTCGAAGTTCGAAACAGAATATACCACCACGACTTCGAGCAATATTGCTTTGGAATTTGAGAGTGAAATTTGAAATGCGTGCAACATGCTAGAGCAAAGGGGAATTTTCGAAATTCGAACAATGAGAAAACAATATATAAACAAGAGCCATTTACCTAGAAGCACAGCGAATGAAAAATCAAAGTGGGGTAGGTTTATTTGCCTGCCTTAAGCGTAAAGAGCGTTTCAACGCTGAAAAGTAGGCACTCAATTGCGGAAGTGCCCTACAAACTCAGAACAACAACTCGTTGCTGGCGCTCAAACTAAGTTTTACGAGTTTTTACACTGTGTACTCTTTAACTCAATTTTATTTTGCTTCTGAGCATTGAGCGTAAAGGTGCTAAAGCCCGCTTTCAGGTTTCCTGCTGTTGCTGCCTTTGTTGGTAGTGTTGGTTGAGGTGGTGGTTTACCCACAATTATATGAACGCGTGCGTTTGTGTGTGCATGTGCCTTCGTGGTTTGGTGGTTTATGGTGTTTGCACCACCTCTTTTCCGAACAATTTCCAAGTTTAGGGTGACTTTTGTGTTGAGCGCTCGCATTTCACTTAACACACTGACTGGCTACTGTTGCTTGCTTGCTCCTAGCGTATGCTTTGTAAGCATAGTTGTGCATGTGTGTGTTTGGTTGACTGCGTGCTGTACTGTGACTGACTGACTGCCTTGGCATGCCGTGAAAGCGGCGAATGACAACTTTTATAAAAGTCACTGCGGCAAGGATAATGCAGTCAGTCGATAGAAAGCTATTGCGACGTTAGCATACAACCTTGTGCCGCGGCAGGAACACAAAATTTAGCCAAACAGCAACAGTCATTGTACATTGTAGTGGAAGCAACAAATTCACTTGAACCTGCGTGCGTTTTTACGTAAATACGAGTGGTCACGTGACAGTGAAAAAATTCTAAGTGTTTTTGGCGCGAAATTTTATAAGGCGCTGGTTAGGTGGGATTTTTGAAATAAAAGAATTTGCATGAGAACTCAAAGTAATTTTGCTTGATTTCAAAAAGGAATTTTATAAAAAATAAAGACATTTGTAATTTATAAAAATATCGAAATTTAAGGAAAAAAAATTTTAATCAGATTATTTTATATAGTGGCTTATGGTCTAGAACTTGATATTGCAAGCGAAAATAAGCAAAATACTAAGGCAGACAAACATTTGAAACATTTTTTAAAAAGTTTACAAAATAAAAAACTTTAAAAATTCAACAACTAATATTTTTGAAAAAAAATCAAACTTAAATAGCGTTACGGCAAGAAACTGTATATAATATAACTAAAATATTAATGGAATCTTCAAAGTTGGAAAAAATTAGAAAAAATACACCAACAACATTAAATGAAAAGTAAACAATAAAAAATATTGAAAAATGGATTTAAGAAAATGAGAACTTAACTTTTAATAAAATATAAGAAATACAGTGACTGAAATACTTTATGTGATTGGATGGGAACCTAAAAATTATAGCAAATTCAAATATTTATGCATAATATGATAATAAATTAAAAGTGAAACATTACTTAACAAAAATATTAATAATTGGCGAGAGAATAATAAAATCAACCAAATTAGAAGAAAATTTCATTCAATTAATCAAAATTTAAATTGAAACACGTATAAGTAATACAAAATATATTGCTCGAAATTGTGAAGACTGCAAATTTTTTAAAAAGGGAAATAAAAACTGATTTATATTAAAAAAAAGTAACCACAAGATTTAAATAAGTTGAGACAATTAAAAATAAAATTTAATTAAAAAGAGAAATTAATTAAACAAAAACCCAAACACAATCAACAACATGGCCATCGCTTACTTTATACCCGACCAAATCAAGCTGCTGGCGGCCAGCAGTGCCAACAACAGTCACACCAGTACGAATAGCGGTGGCGGTGTTGGCGTCGGCAACACGAACCCAGCCGCAACAGCCGCGCCAGAACCAGCAGCGACAGCAGCAGCGCACAGTCCGAGCGGCGGACAACCGCATGCCACACATCATCACCACAACAGCAATAACAATTTTCGCGCCAACATCACCATACCGCTGAGTGCCTACAGCGCATCAGCTGCACAAACGGACACCGGTTGCTGGGATTTGTTAACGCAAATATTCTGTCATGCTTTGCGTTTTTGCCACCAATCCGAACGGCATCCGACTGTAATACAAATCTCAGTGGAAATCAGTCAAGGCGATGCGACGGGCGCCACAACGGTGCAAGTAGGTGCGGCGGCGCTGCCAGTGGAACAGCCGCGCGAGCAACAACAGCAGACAGTGTCGCCGACGTTAGTGGGGCATACGACAGCGGTGCCACAAAACGCGGCAACACAAAATGTGACAACTGGAAATGTGTCTGCACCCAGCGTGGCACGACCGACGGTGTCAAGCGCTGAGGCAGCGGCGCCGATTGTGAATAGCAGAAATCTGGAGCCCGGCACGCATAAGCCGGCGGCGAGCAGGCGTTAAGACTACTGAGGTATTCAAGGTTGGAAGTGTGCTCGAAAGTTTTGATTGAAATTCGAAAATGAAATCGAATTTTCTGCACTGCCTTGTAACTGCAACTAAGCAACGAATGAAGCTCCAGTGGGAGCACTTTGTAAAAGACCATCATTAAGCTCATTCAAAGCGCATTGTGATTCCATGGAAGGTGACGCATACTTTGCAACAAAAAATTTTAATTTTTTATAAAAAGAAGAAAATTTAAAATTTGTGACTTTTTTTTAATCTTTTGAAGGAATCAATATTAAAATTTTTTAAAAAAGTTACTTAAAAACATATTTTGAAAATAATAATTAGAATTATTTTAACAGAAAATAAAAACAATATTTTGATATTTAAATTTTTTTTTAATCCTTTTTTAACTAATTTGTTGTAAAGCAGCGCCAGTTACTTTGTAATGGATACCAAAACTTTTTCTAAAATGTATTTTTAAATATTATTAAAAATTTATAAAAACATAAATTAATATTAATTACAATTTAAGCGAAATGTGAGTAACTTGAAGTAAACTAGCGAAGGATTTGTTTGAGTTGAAGCTTAGATTTAGGAATGGAAAAATATAAAACGAAAAATATTTTTCAACCAAAAAAATAGTTAAAGGCACGTAAAAGCAGTATAATGGTTTCGAGTTATAAAGTCGTTTGACGCCAGTAAGCAACAGCAGTTCAAATATTTTTAAACCTTTTAATAAAACAAATTTATTTTATGTTCAGTTATGCAATATTTTGGAAAGGAGATATGTAAAAGCAAAAAATATATATATATATATATCTCAGACGAGTAATACATAATGATGGAAATTTGTGTGTGGAAGTTGTGAAAAAATTTTGAAAATTTTA